AAGAAAGAAAAGGAAGGAAGGAAAGAAGGGAAGGAGGAAGGGAGGGAGAGAGGGAGGGAGGAAGAAAAGAAAGACACTTTTAAAGTGTTAGATCTGGGTGGTTTAGAGCAGTGTTTTAGACCCACAGCAGAATAGAGGGGCAGGTATGGAGGGCTCCGTTGTATTCCTTGCCCTCACGCATGTATAGCCTCCCTCAAGTTTGCTTTGGGTCCTGGGAGGAGGGGTTGGAGGGAGTGGAAGGAGAACGGAAGAGTCCAGGGAGGCAGGTTCAGAAGCCTGCAGCATCTGTCGGAGCAGAGCTGCTGAGCACCTGACCCGAGGCACAGCCGCAGAGTGGGGGCCAGAGGAGCAGGGAATGAAGAGATAACGTTTGGAAAGGAGACTAACGGCATCGGGCATGAGTGAGAAGGCAGTTCCGCCTTTCTGGCCTTGGAGCTGGGAGACCAGGCAGGCAGTAAAGCTTTCTGCTTCTTCTCTGTAACTGAAGACAGGTGTGGCGCAGCCCACCGCTGCCATCCCAGTTATGTGTGCGAGAACGGATGATCACCAGCTCTAGGATGGCTTGGGCTGTGAGTGACAGAGTGTCTGAAGCCAACCAAGCAGAAAAGCAAGCGAGCAAACAACAGCAGCGATCCAAACAGGGCATGCAGCTTGGTGGGTGGGCAGAGAGCTTGTATGCCATGCCCAAAGCTCTGGGTTCGAGCCCTAGCAGTGTATAAACGGAGTGTGACGGTGCTTGCCTGTAACCCCAGCACCCAGCGGGTGGAGGGAGGGCATCCATAGCTTCAGGTCACTCTTTGTTCAAGACCAGCTGGGATGCTGGAGACCTTGCCCCAAACACAACAGCAACGACAAACTCAACAGTGACAGCGGACACCGACAGCAGATGAAAGAGACAGCTCTGATCCCACCCCGTGCCCGGCGCTCCTCCCCACCCCGTGCCCCGCGCTCCTCCCCAGCGCAGTTACTGATGATGACGCTCTCACACATTTCTCCAGGCTTCGCCGTCCTCACACTGAACTCAGCTGATTCTTTCAAACCCCAACAGCTTTTGGTGTGTAAAGACACCTCGTAGATGCCTTGCACTTTTTAGAGGGGATGTCTCCGGTTTACCGTGTGCTTGATGTCGTTGGGCAAAGTTTCACGAGACCAAAATAATGCTACACAGTGCCCAAGTGTAAGGTGTGAGTAATTAGGTTGATAAATCTTCTCTATTGGCCCTTCTCCAAAAATGTAGGCACATTCAAACCCCAAAGTGAAAAATAAAAACATATTCTCCTTGGTATTCAATGCCCTAGAAATGCCACCAGGCTTGTGTTTGTATGTATATCAACTTGTAGTTGGGGAGTTAGTTACAGAAACTGTACTCTCTTGTGGTCTAGATAATATTACTTCTACAAATTAAAAATAAGGAATATGTCACAGGGACATGAAGAGACAACCTTGATTGCATGTGAAGCCGTGGTTGAATGCATACACACAATAAAAGCCAATACAAATTTCAGAGAAAAGAGGCACACTCTTTTACGGCACTACAATAAATCGTAATGCTCACAGTAATTTGTGAATATACCTCCAGAGAGTTCATTGGTTGGGAATGATTACCGCTAAAATACAATAAAATGGCACCTTAAAAATCTAACTCTTTTTGAAGTATGATTGCAGTAAAAACAAAACAAAAAAAGCTTATATCAAAAGATACAAAACATCATGACAGAGTGGTACTTTGGGCAAAAGAAAATGTTAAAATTTTAAGTCTTATGTTTAATACTTTTAGCTTGAAGTGAAAATAAATTATTTAATATGTAGCAAGTACTAATTGTCGGCTAGTGGTTTTCTTAAAACATCCTTACTGTTACAACTTTCCAGAGAGGCATTTCTATAGTTCAGCAAGTAATTCTAGCATGAATAGGAAGTATTATATAAAGAATAGCTAACATTATTAAATATTCATTATAAACCAGGCACTCATTCAAAATGTTCCCTCTTTACAATCCTAGGATAAGGCCCCCATGCTGGTTACTAATATTGGTTGCCAGTCTGATGGACTCTGGAGTCAACTAAGATGCAGGCTCCTTGGCACGCCCATGAAGGATTTTCTTGATTAAGTCAACTGGAGTGGTGCAAACCGCCTTACGTGTGAGTGGCAGCATCTAAGAAGGTGTGGGGACAGAGCTCTTGCTTATCCACTGTTTGCTTCCCTGCCCTGCTGCTCCTCTGCCTTCTGCTGCTGCTGCTGTTGCCATGGCAAATGCCACTGTCTGTCATCCTTCACTGCCATCAGAACCCGGCTTCGCCCACCTTCCCACATGGAGTGAAGACAAGGGGCTCCCACTCAGTGCCAGGGTGGAGGAGCTGCAGCGTCCAGTCTTCTAGACTGAGTCTCCATTCCCAGCCTCTCTGCTGTGAAGATGCCATTACTGGACTACCCAAGCCACGCCACGCTAGACAACTGAACAATCCTCCTTAATAGGTACTGACTGTCGGGTCTGTTCCTCTAGAGAACCCTGACTATTCGCCATGTCTTCCCATTTTCAGCACGTGCATTCCAGCTTCTACTAGTGAGGATTCTGTATTCAAGGGCTACTTAACCAAGCTGTTACTTGAGGGTGCTGTGAAGATTAATGAGATTGATAAAATATTAGCTACATAGACTGGAAACAATAGGAATGTTTAAATGATTAGATTCAGAAACGGAGGTAGACATTTTGTTTTGAAACCAGGAAGTCTCTCTATGTTGCCCGAACTGGCCTAGAACTTTTGGACTCAGGGAGATCCTCCTGCCTCAGCTTCCCTAGTTGCTACAAGTATGTGCCATCATTCCTGCCTTGGAAAAGGGTATATCAATGCATATTCTACAGAAATAAAAAGTATAACAGGGGAAAACGAACAGTTGGAGGCCAACAAAGGGGAGTTACTTAGATGAAATGGACAAGTCTTCAGGAACACAAAACCTATCGAGACCAAACTTCAAAGAAATCGATAACGCGAACAGATCTGTAGAAAGAAAAGAAACTGAATACGTGATTAAAAAAAATAGCAGTCTGGAAAAGAAAAGCACTGCAGCAAGTTTGGCCCAAATATTTAAACAAACAAGAATAATCCTTCTCAAACTTTCCCAAAATAACCAAAGAGGAAGGCTGCTTCTTGTGCTATCCCATGAAACAACAGCCCCGTTCCAAACTCAGAAAGACGCACCACAAGAAAGGAAAACTGCCTGGATGTGGCGTTACATGTCGATAATCCCAGAAGCTGCAGGACCAGTGCAGGAGGATCAGAGTTTGTGGTCAGACTGAGTCATATAGTGACCTTGGCTCAAAGAACCCAGGCTAAGGATACGCTTCAGAGAAGGGGTATTCACTGAGCTTGAGCAAGGTCCTTGTTTTCAACCCCCAGCATCAAGAGGGAGGGAGGGATGGAGGGAGGGAGGGAGGGAGGGGGAGGGAGGGAGGGGGAGGGAGGGGAAGGAGGGAGGGAGGGAGGGAGGGAGGGAGGGAGGGAGGGGAGAGGGCAGAAGGAAGGCAAGCAGGCAGGCTGCACATCTACTGGTATGCCTTATAAATATTCATGTAAGAGTTCTTTCATTTGTTTTATTTTTTTTCCAAGACAAAGTCTCACTACACATCTCTGCCTGTCCTGGAACTCACTCTGTGGACCAGCTAGCCTCAGGCTCACAGACAGCTACGTGCCTCTGCCTCCCAAATGCTGGCATTTAAGGTGTGTGTCACTATGCCTATCTGGTATTAGAGTTATTAGCAAAGCATAAGCAAAACAAATTCAGCAGCATGTTAGAAACACTGTACATAATGACCAACTGGGAGTTACTACTGGAATGCAAGATAATTCAACCCATGAAAATTAGTTACTAGAATACACCGCATTGATAAAAAAGCAAAAAAATCTGAGTTTGGGACAAAAATTATAAAAATTTATCATTATTTTATGCTTCAGCTCAGCAGTTCGATGCATGAAGACCGGGAAGAGATGAAAACTACCCTATCATGCTAAGGGCCGCATACGAGGGACTCAGCAGACTTGGTGTGTTTGTCCTGAAGATGAGGGAAAAGCAATGACGGCTGCTTTTGACACTTGTAATCAGCGCAGTGCTGAGCCCTTAGGCTTCAGCACACCCTCTACCCCTGAACTAAAGCCCCAACCCTCAAGACAACATTTGTACCTTCCCTACTCTGCCTTTTCCCTAAAAGACTTTCTTTGGGTTTCTAGTTAGGTTTGTCACCGGGAGCAGGGAAGAAAGAAGGTTCAGGTTGAAGAACTGTGGTTCCCCAGTCCCTTTCTGTTTTCAGAGGGATGGTGCCATGCCTGGAAGTTTGCCTTAATCCTACTCACACCTTCCTAAGTTGCCCCTTTATTAAATGTTCCTCCCAAACCACCACATTTATATAATTCAAAGTTTCCTCCTGGCATTATAAAAGATGGAGAGGTAGTGGGGGAAGGAGGTATACCATACTCCAGAGTCTAGCCCTAAGTAGCTTGATTTTTCTACAGTTCTCAGCATGGTTCTCTTTCAACCCGCCAATGATAAACTAAAAGGTAAGTCAAAGTGCCAGCTTAGAATTCCCAAAGTTCCCAAGGACTCCCTTGGCTTGGATGGCACTTTTCCCTCCTGGGGGGAGCCACATCGTCATCCAGAAGGCAGCTGGCAGCAGACATCAAGTCAGAGCAATGCAGTTTGGTAAATCTTGTGTGTAAAATCCTGTGTTCTCATCAGCTCCGCCCATCACCCATGAGCAACCCAACAGCCCAAGACTCTGCCGACCAGAATTTTTAATCACCAGCTGAAGACACAGTGCCAACCTCCTCCACTCTGACAGCCTCTCCTAGATTTACGTTGCTGGTTGAGTTAAGGATTCACCAGTGTCCTAGGCTGTCTTTGAATACACATCCCTCTCACTCAGCCTCCCAAGTGGTAGGATTACAGGTGTGTACTAACCGGTCCTAACCATACTCCTTTTGTCTTTTACCTAATTCAAGGTTGCAAAGATTTTTCTTGTGTTTATTTCTTTCTAGATACTTTATATTTTAGGGCTTACATAAAGGTCTATAGCAAACTTCTGTTTAAATTTCCACATTTTAAATTTCAAATGGCTCATCATTTATAAAATGCTTACTAAAATAATGTTTTCATAATGATAGAATACATCTTATATAATCAAGAAGAAGATGTCAGTGGCTAGACTAATGTGGTGCTTTGAAAGAAAACGGCCCCCAAAGGGAGTGGCACCATCAGGAGGTGTGGCTTTGCTGGAGTAGGTGTGGCCTTGCTGGAGGAAGTGTGTCACTGTGGGGGTGGGCTTTGAGGTCTCCTTTGCTCAAGCTGACTCAGTGTGGTAGCCAGTCCACTTCCTGTCGTCTGTGGATCAAGATGTAGAACTCTCAGCTCCTTCTCCAGCACCGTCTCCATGGTATGCCGCCGTGTCCTGCTATGAGGATAATGGACTAAACATCTGAAATTGTAAACAACACAAAATTAAAATGCTTTCCTTTGTAAGAGCTGCCATGGTCACGGTGTCTCTTCACAGCAACAGAAACCCTACCTAAGAGATCCGATTCATTCTAGTAGATGGAAACGCATTGAATGAAGCTTGGTGAATATCTCTTTTGATAAAAAAGGTCACCATTTTTTCTTCCCATGCAGTCTTCATATGTGTCCGGCTACTTTCATGTCAACTTGATATAAGCTAGAGTCATTTTGGAAAGAGAGAAACTCAAATGAGAAAATGCCCCCACTGGATCAGCCTGTGGGGCATTTTCTTGATTGATGACTGATGTGAGTGGGCCCAGCCCACTGTGAGCAGTGCCACCCCTGGGCTGGCGGTATTCAGTTCTATAAGAAAGCAGGCTTGAGCAAACCACAAGGAATGAGCCAGTGAGCAGTGCTCCTCCATGACTTAAACGCTTCAGTTTCTGCTCCAGTGCCTGCCCTGACTTCTTTTTCAGATAGACTGTGATATGGAAGTATAAGCAAAATAAATCACTTCATCCCAAGTTGCTTTTGATCGTGGTGTTTTATCACCGCCATAGGAACCATCACTAAGACCACGTCAGTTTAAATCCGATCCCCCGTGAAGATCTCCGGCTGGCTGTATTTACTTCTATTCTCAGTAGTGTGTGTGTGGCTCAGGGCCAGGCTTTTTACACTGATTTAAAAGATACACTCGTGCCTGATTGGATCGCTGGTTGTTGAAGCTTAAGAGTGAAACGCCCCTTGAAGACACATGTCCCTAGCTGGTAGTGATGTGTTGGAAAGCTTTGGAACCTTTTAGAAGCAGAACTTTTGAAGGCTGTAGTCTATCTTGTCCCTGTCTCTCTGTGTTTAACACGTGAGGAGGCCCAGACCCACACCTGGTTGCCATGCCCTCCCCTGTACACATCCCCCTCCCCCCAGTCATGGACTAGGCCCTCTGAACTGAGATGATATAAACCCACCCTCCCTTAAGTTACCTTTGTCACATGTTGTTATCACAGTGACAAGCAAAGTAACTGATGCCCAGGTGACTTGTGTGCTATGGGGGCAGATTTCAGAGTTGTGGCCCCAGCTAAGGCAATCCTATACGAAGCTCAGACGGAGTCCGGGCTGCCCAGTGCTCCCCATCTCTCCCCATCCACGGCCACTTGCCTAGGAGAGACTTCAGAAGAATACATCCACGACTCTTGGGCAACTCTGTCTCCAGTCTGTCCTTATGTCTTTTCTCAAATGAGCATGAGCACACAAAGAAGTTACTGTTTTTTTCCGGGGCCAAGGAGCAAACCTGGGGCATCACACAAGGTAGGCAAGTACTTGAACCACATTGCAGCCTCAAATAAAGGATTCGTAATCATTTAAACCTGAACTTCCTGGAAATGGCGTTCCATATAGAAATGTCATATCGCTTTACTGGTGCTTAATTAAATTATCTTAGCCACGGGGCTCAAAATGCTTAGTTTGGACACTTTACTGCCTGAATGGCTGCATTTTATCATCTAAAATGATAGCGATGTTTTTCTAAGGCACACAAATGCACACTCTGCCCGCTTCTCATGGGTGGGCAAAATATTTGTTCACACTTCTTAAACTGCGGGGGAAAAAAGAGACAGCAGTAGCACAAATATGGTAGAAGGAAGAAATTTGAAAGATTCATCCACGTATGTTTTCTCATCTTTTCAAACTTGATTTCTTTCTGTCTATCCTAGGAGTCTGGGGCAAAAGGAGGCAGATTTATCTGACAGGGAAAGTAATGCTGCTTGCAGATTTGCTAAAGACACCAGGGAGGAAGGAGAAAGAGGCCCAGAGGCAGGGAGAGGAACTAAAGTTATAGCCCCGAGAGGTAGTCAAGTCCCAGGTCCTCGTATGCAAACAGACAATTATTACCTGGTCTTTGCCACAGCTCGCCAGTAGGGCCAGGGTGTTGCCTGCTTTTGTAAAAATGAACCAGCTGCCTCTCTGTGCTCTAGGTTATGCTTAAATCCTCCCTAAATTTTGTAGCAGTCCATGAACTCAATCCTGGGAACTTCAGCAGGGAAGGATGCCTATCCCTCAGGGATTGGAGGGTGGGGTAGCAGACAGCTATTGGGTGGTGACAACAGGAGAGGAGCGCATAGACAGACTCCTGAGGAAGGAAGACCTGAATGCAAGGCCAGCATGTTTGGAAGCTCTTGCAGTACTAGGAGAGGTGATGGGCGGGGTGAAAGGTTCAGGCATTACTCTGGCCTGCCCTGTTACCTGGCAGGATGCGCTCAGGCAACACTCTGGCCAGCCCAGAGCTCCGTGAGAACCAGGCAGGTGCAAAGGACCCCTTTAAGGGACTGACCCCTGCCCATTTACGCTCTCTTACTCTTCTTCCTCTCTTACTCTCTCTTACTCTTTTGCTCTTGCTCTTACTCTCTCTCTCTCTCTCTCTCTTATCTCTCTCTCTCTGCTCCCCTTTTCCCTCCCCGTCCACCAATAAACTCCACGTGGGATCGTTGAGTCGCGGTCTGTGTCTCCTTACTGGATAAACCTAAACGTTTTAACAACACGGGGTGCTGACACCCATGACACCCAGCAGCCCTCCCCGGTCCACCTGGTAGCCTGGGCCCAAGACCAGACAGGTTCCTTAGAAAGCAATCACACTTGGATGTCACGTTTTCCGATCTTGTGTTTTGTGTGTGTGTGTGTGTGTGTGTGTGTGTGTGTGTGTGTGCGCGCGTGAGTTTCCTAGGGTTTTGTTTGTTTGGGTGGGCGGTTGGCTGGTTTTCTGTTTATTTCTAAGGGGAGGGGGTGGAGTTGGGCAGGTGGGAGGATCTGGGAGAAAAGAACAATGGGAACAGTCCTTGCAGAAAGAGCCCAGGGCTATGCCGACACACACAGGTGAGTCTTATGCTGCTGTAGTAGCACCTGCCACCGTCAGTTTGCACTGCCAGTTTGCACTGCCGGGCCCTGCCAAGCTTCCGGTCTAATTGCCTTTACTCATTTCAGCCAGCCAGCCCAGATTTCTGCAAATGATCACATTTTAAAAGCCCGAATGCATCTTGTTGCTTTAGTACGCCTATGTGAACTACTAAAGACGAGCTCAACTCCTTGTTTGGTGTGCTACTATTTTTAGCTCTCTCTACCCATAGTACTCTATTACAGTTTTTTTTTAATACAGTTATATTTTTGAGTAAGATATTGTCTGTGCTTCTGTCCGGCTCACTGATAAACATACATTTATGAATTAGTCTAAAGATTTGTAGCCATGTCTCACAACTCAATTTTCCTTGTTTTGGGTGGGGGTTAGCAAGACATAAATCTACCAGATTGTATTATTCTTCACCACAGGAATATTTTAGGAATGCTTGTGATCTGACTGAAGATCGAATTGGTCTATTGCCTGGCACATCTTCTCAGAGAAGGAAGGAGAAAGCCGATAATTGCCTAGGTGAACCTGAGAAGAAATGATCTGACTGACCTTACACACTTGGAACAGAGCTGACCCATAGTAGGGTCTACAAGCATTAACTTTGTTAATATTGCTACTATAATTTTGATATTAACCCATTTAGGAAATTATCATTATTTAATAGTTATCAATGACAGAATCAAACTATGTGGTAGTTTTGGCACATCTACCCAAGGTTTTATCATAGAAGAATCAAGCTGGTTTGAATAGGGATGGCCTCATAGGCTCATAGATTTGAATACTGACTCATCGGGGAGTGATATTACTTGAGAAGAATTAGGAGGTGTCACCTCGTTGAAGGACATGTGTCATGGGAGGTGGACTTTGAGGTTTCAAAAGCCAAAGCCAGGACCAGTGGCTTTCTCTTCCTTCTGCCTGTGGATCCAGATTACGCTCAGATACTTCTCCAGCCTCATGTCTGCCTTCATCCTGCCATGATCCCCCCCCCCCATGATGATAATGGACTAAACCTCTGAAACTGCAATCCAGTCCCAATTAAATGCTTTCTCTTATAAGAGTTGCTTTGGTCATGGTGTCTTTTCATAGCAACAGTAATCCTAAATAAGACAGAAGATTATTACCTATTTCCCTGTACAGAAGCGTCTCAAACCACAATGGCTCCTTAGGCTAAGTGACTGTTCCTACCTCGATGTAACTAACTCACTCAGGCATTTCCCCAGGTTGAGGGGTTGCTTCTGTTGTCACTGTTCCCTTTTGCTTGCAGGGTAAGGATCTCACCCATGATCTTGAGCTCTCTAAATGGATGTACTCATGGTGGGTGGCATCTCCAATCTTGGGTTATGGTTTTACATGCCAACATAACCTTGTCATGACATTCCAACAAGAAACCAAGACAAGGCTGACGGTGCCGTGGGATTTCTTTGGAAGACCACAGGGAGGCAGGCACCTTCCCTCCCTCCGTCCCTGCTGCTTTTCTGTGGCAGGCATGTTGTGTCTGCTTCTTTCTCCATGCCCCCACCAGGAGCCCCGAGAACACCTCCCCTTGGGTTTTCCCTCCCAGCCTGAACCCACTGTGGACTCATCAGTATTCCAGGAGAACTTTCTTTCCTTCTCTTCCCTTCCCTCAATCCTTTTAATCCTCTGGTTCAGGCAATTAGCTCTACAAATATTAGCTGCAATCAAGGACTAGCACATGTGGTAATTTTCCCTCTAATAAATCAATCAATTCTTTCTATGAAGTGTTTTCCCCCCCTTACAGTCATTAGAAAATTACAATGCGACTTGAAGATCACCAGCAACTTGAATTAGTCAAGGAATGTCAATCAAACTTGCTAGGGTTTGCTTTAAAGATGAGAAAAATAGGATAGATTTACAAAGGCCTCCTGTCTTATAATAGCATGCTTCTCAGAGCCACGTTGAATTTCTCTTACAGAGGTCCTAGGCCATCATGAGCCACATGGAAGAAAGTAGAAACTGTTGGTAGCAATGACAAATCAGATAAAATGCAGAACTTTGCATCAATCAACAAATTAGTCATCGGAAGAGCCTTCCGTGCAGGGTACCGAGGTAGTGTGATATGCTTCTGTAGATATTTGGTTAGGACAAGAAAGAAGAACCCAGTGAGGGAGAGAAAGGAGCGATGAGCAAATTGGCAAAGAATGGGCTGGCAAAACCAGCAGAGACAGCTGATCTTAACAGGGGAGAGCTCTTGGACCCCAGACCGACAGCTGCGAGGCCAGCATGGGACTGATCCAGACCCCCTGAGTGTGAGAGTCAGTGAGGAGGCCTGGGCAACCTATGGGGCCCTGGGAAGTGGATCAGTGTTTATCCCTGGCATACAAACGGACTTCATGTGTCCATAACACAAAGAGGGATGCTCTCTCAGCCTGAACTCTTAGGGGAGTGCCTGGACCCTGTCCTGAGTGAAATGACAGACTCTAGATAGCCCCTATGTGGAAGGAAGTGGGGATAGGGTGGGAGGCTGGGGGGGGTTGGTTCGGGAGGAGGGGAGGGAGAGGGAACTGGGATTGACATGTGAAGCAAGCTATTTAAAATTAAAGTAATAAAAAATAAAAAAGAAAGAAGGCAAATAAGCAAGAGGACACATTTTATCCCCGGAGAGTATTAACATCCATGATGTGCTTCCCAGAGCTGGAGTGGGGGTGCTCCAGGGAGTGCTCAGTATAAGGCTGGGAGAGAGAGCAATTTCAAGGCCACCCTTGCAGCCTTCTAGCTCCCTCCCCATTGCTACTCCATGCCAGTGAGCATAGTTATCCTGCTTAGAAATGATGTGAGTGTCACCAGTGTGGACCAGGCCACCATGTTCATAAATCTACAAAGGGATTGTCAGAGAAAATTATCAGTTTAATGAGGAACCCAACATCTTTCTTCTGCAACCCAGGCTGTGCTGTGTCTCATACTCTAGGTGTGGCTGAGGGATAGGAAACAATCATGGTGAGCATCCAATCCTTGTTTTCTTGTCTTCCCTTCTCTCTTTCTCTCTTCTCTCTTTCCTCTCTCTCAGAACTGTAATAACAACAATAATAATAATAATAATAATAGGAAGAAGAAGAAGAGGAGGAGGAGGAATAGGAAGAGGAAGAAGAAGAAGAAGAAGAAGAAGAAGAAGAAGAAGAAGAAGAAGAAGAAGAAGAAGAAGAAGAAGAAGAAGAAGAAGAAGGCAGCTGAATTATCAAGAAAAGAGGCATCGATGCTTGTTTTGGGATCAAAAATGACCTACAATCATTCTCCTTCCTCTCTAGTCGCTCTGAAAAATTATATTATCTTCCAGCACCTGAAAAGGACCGCAGGGGAGCAGGCTAGGCCTGGTTCCATTTTCTTAATGTCACCGAATGTTAAGATGAAAAGAAGTGAAGGTTTCAGTAGGATTCTTGGTGAAAACTTGCTGACATTAATGACTCAAATTCTCAGAGAGACTGTAAGGAAGACAGTGTCATCACTGTCATTCAAGCCACTTAAGATGAAATTTCAAAAGAAGGCTGTCAGCATAATGACTGCCAGGTCCCATTATCTCATCCTCAGGGGGCGGATCACACACTACTATGCAGTCTGTGGGTGACTGACATTCAAGTCTGAAAGGAAGCTGCACAGGGAAGAGGTGAGCTGGGTGTGGGTCCCCAGGGGGGAGCGGCCTTCCGTGACCAGGATCCATCACTACTGACATCTAGATGGTAACTGGGTTAGATCCATCTCGCCCTACTCCTGCGGACAGGTGGGGGAGCCATGCACACGGTGCTGAAGGGCGTGGGGAGCTCTAGATCTCAGTGCTTGTTCGTTAATTTACCATGGCAATAATCCTCCCTAGCAACCAGGATGAGGGCAGCCCTCTGCGTGTTCCGGGGCTGAGAAGCCTGGCTAACAATCAGAGGCGAGTTATGTGGGGAGCGAACGAGTGGTGTGGTCAGCCCTGGCCGCACACTGCGGTAGTCGGGTGATTCAGTGCTAAGGCCACAGGAAAAGCAAGCCCGTCCGAGCCTCGGCAGAGGTGCAGACTCGGTGTTTTAAACATTTCTGCAAGTGAGTCCATTGAGCAGGCAAACCAAACACCCTTGACTAGAATCAAGGCTGACTTCAGGTAAGCATCTAAATGAGTTCAGCAGTGACAAAAGTTTTACTGTCGTTGTATCAAAGAGAGGAGATTTTAACAAGTAAGTAGGAAGGACATGATTTGGGGGTGAGGAATTAACTGAATTAACTCACTGTGTTGTATCTATTTCCCTGTGTCTCTTCAGACAGGGTTCTTTTCTCTGTAGAACGGGGCCATCTTAAAAGGTTTAAACAACCAAATTGCTTTCTCCACCTGAGGTCAGAGTCTTCCCTGTTCGTAGACCTTAGACTCCTTTGGCAGGGCTTTGGTTAATTAAACCACTGTCCTATGCTAACAAATCTCTTGCCACATTCTTCCTAGGGAGGTATTAATACAATTGATCAAGCTGAAATTTCTTCTCCCAAGCTTTAGGGGAATTCTGTGGAGGAGCACAGATCATGTCCCAGCAGGAGGGGGAGTGGCCCAAGCAGATGACCTGAGAGGTTACAAGATGGTGCTGACAGGAAGCTACTCAGGCGAGGCTTCAAGCGTTCGTTCACTAAGAAAAACAATTGGCTGCCCAAAGTCACACCGGATGAGGTCATCACACTCACAGACCATGCCCCCCCCCCCGTTTTTTCACTTTAAAAAGGCTCGCTGTGTTAAGCGATAAATGGGGAGGGGCGGAGACCCCTCCCCAGACAGTGTTCCGGTTTTCTGTTTGTTTGTCCCCCCTCACCTCAGTTACTAAATATGTTGATCAAATGAATTGGATTATATCTGGATACTCTCACAGGAATGTTTCTGGCATGCGTGGAGCACATCTCCCCGGCGAGTGCTACCTGGGATGACCGTGCTTCCCTTGCTTGGCTATGAGGATTGGCACCGGCAGAGAATTCACCGTAGGATCCGATTGTCTGAGAGGAGCTTTTTGATATGTGTCTGATCACATACAAGAGAAGGCCTCGCTTACGCTTTAAAACCCTGTTTGTAGCGCCCTCGTGGATTCTGTATGTCCGCTCTGATGCTGGGCTGGATGTTGAAGGAATGTGGCTCTGCCGTAACTAGTCCTCACAGTTGTCTATCCTCAACAGTCAGGGACCAGCAACTCCTGAGAGAGCATAGTGTGCTAGAACTGCTGACCTCTGACTCAAGGCTGGAACCCCAAAATTCCCTTCAAACTATGCATCGTGCAGAGACTCATCTCTAAGCTATCGTCTTACAGGTGGAGCAAGAGAATAGACACTAACTAGCACAGACAGGTTGGCCAGGCTAACCAGGAAGTTATGCCTGCGTCCTCCAGAGTCCAAAGCTGTGTAAGCAACACTGGACTACCCTGCCCTGTTAGTTCCGACCTACCCCCAGCTGAAGGGTAACATGCCCCGTCCCCCTTTCAAGGTGAGAGCTTTGCTTAGAATAACATATGAACCACGGAACTCTGCTAGTAAGTTCCATAAGTTGTTTAAGTCTCCTGGCCTCGATTTCTCTATCTGTACAATGGGGCAGTAGCACAGTCTCGCTATAATACTTGTAAGAGTTAATAATGCAACTTTGATGAGCTGCTTCAAAGAGCGAGTGTCAAACTTGTACTAAAAGAGCCCAGCATAGCATGAGATACTCAGTAAACAATCTCTTTTTCTTGCATATGGAGACAGAGCCAGAGACAAGGAGACAGAGGGGGCCTATTATATATGTCCCCTGCCCCCAGGAACAGCTAAGAGGCTGTCACTGAACTCCACATTTGAGTTTTCAGGTCTTAATTCCGAAACCAAATAAACGTTACTACATGATACTGCTCAGGCAAGTCTCTTGTCCCTCGCATGGTTGTTTTCTCTGGGAGACTGATGACGAGTGGTGGATACGTCTGACCCAACGCTTCTTTCTGCGTCAATGCTCTCATCTCGGACCACTGTGCCTTGGAACCGTGTTCCCTCGCTGTTGTACTGATGCAGGCAAATGTTTCAGGTGAAAGTATTTGTGAATGTACTCATTTGCAACTGCATCTCCACCTTTCTCTGATTCACAGGAAGAATGTGAATCAAATTTTCTCTAAGTAGATCCCACAGAAAACGGAGTGAGGAGGACATGGTCTGTGCAGCTCTGGGGTCTTTGTGTCTACACCTGACTCAATGCCAGGCCGTGTTTCCTCTAACTAAAGTTAAGCGTTTTCAGAATCAGCTAATTACTATTACCTGTGCCAAAGCTCCCATTCTCCCACTGCTAAAAGCAAACAAAACCCAGAAATAAAGTCTCATCAGTACGTGAACGTCTTGCGTTGCTGCAGACTTACTGTAGGAGCCAAGCATGTTTCTGAAGGTTTCAGCTCACCCAATCAGACAACAAGCTGGGTAAGAGAGACTTCTCTCAAGTTACACAGAGGACTCCATCTGTTACCCTAGACCTTTCTTCGTAAGTGACGTGAGGGGGGGGGACCTTGAGGGCAGTTTGAAAGAGTTTTGTTCTACAAATTCTTAGCCCGAGGGTTCCTATTTAAAGAGAAGCAGCAGAAGGGGACAAAAGCCCACCGTGGGGGAGGAAGGACAGTTCACAGACTGGCCTTCTGCCTGGTGGAGCCACCGTGGGGAAGGACATTGCCTTACCAGCTAGTCCCTTCGGCTCCTGTAATAAATGCCGCTGAAGGGGCAGTTCCTTCCTCCTCGCCAAAGCCATTTCTCATCATGCCAAACCAGCAGAAGAAAATCATTTTTTGCATGGCTGGTGTGTTGAGCTTCCTCTGTGCTCTCGGAGTAGTAACGGCAGTGGGGACGCCACTGTGGATTAAAGCCACGATCCTCTGCAAAACGGGGGCTCTGCTCGTCAATGCCTCGGGGGAGGAGCTGAGCAAGTTCATGGGCGAGATGCAGTATGGGCTTTTCCACGGAGAAGGCACGAGGCAATGCGGGTTAGGAGCAAGGCCTTTCCGGTTCTCATGTAAGTAACCATTGCATCTGAATTGTTTAATGCTTTCTGGACAGTCCTGCAGCTGTTGCAAAGATGTCGAGGATCTTACCTGCATATTGGGGGACTATTCACACCACTGTGTGTGAGCCATCTGAAATACCTAGGACTTTAAGCAACTTGTGTTTTTATTTTGTTTTCATTCTTTATTAAAATTTTCATCCTTGCCATTTTTATTATGGTCACATACAGTTAGTTATTATGAAGTTGAGCGTTTTGACAGCACAGTCTTTTAAAGGGGCTGACGGGATGACTCCAGAATTAAGGTATGTGATGCCAAGACTGATGACCTGAGTTTGATCCTTGGCACCTGCATGATGGGAACAGAAAACCAAGTTCCCCAAGTCGGCCTCTGACCTCCATGCATACCATGGCGCTCCCCCTTTCCCCGAAACTCTATATTTTTGAAAATGAAAGTATAACCCTTAAGATTCCCAAGTTTTACCAACCACGCAAGATGGCATGATGTCTTTGTTAAATAGAAAGAGTAAAACGGGACCACTGTATGGAATGATCCCCGTGCCTTTTGTCCGTTATAAAAGGATCTGGGTTTACTGGCTTTTGTCCTTTATAGAAGGATCCGGGTTTACTGGCTTTTGTCCTTTATAGAAGGATCCGGGTTTACTGGCTTTTCCCTCTGCCCCTGTCTGCTTCTTGCTCTGCCCAGCGCTGCTGAAACTCTTGCTGTTGACAAACGTCCTGTTTTCATGTTTAACCAACTTGAAATTACTTGCTACAAAAATTTAAAAATCGTCTGCTGAGATAACTTTCAAAGAAATGCATGCCAGTCACACACAAATCCTGCAAGGGATTGACCTTCAGCTCAGGTAAGGAACAGGGGAGATTGTCTGTCATGATTTTTTTGCAAAATGGAAGTGTTATCCACAGTCTTTATAACATGTTTATCTTGAGAAGAGAAGCTTTAAAAATTATCATGACAATGGGCGACTCATTAAATGAAAATTAATAAGAAGTCATTTGTTGTATCTCTCATTACACACATGCAGAAGTTATTATTATTTCGAAGGGCTGGTTTGGAGCAATCTTAGGAAGGCAGTCAGTAGATTACTGCATAAATCACTCTTCAGGAAGGGGACTCCCAGTTGGGGTACTTAAGATGAATCACTATTTTGCCTGAGCTTCTTTTCTCTTCTGGTATAGGTAGAAGGTGAAATAAATTGAATTTATTATTAGCATATGCAGTGTCTAATTAAATTTCAGCTCTGGGCTACAGAGTGAGGAATTGTCCCAGGGCTCCAGAAAAAAATCCCTAAGAATTCCTCTTCAGCTTCTCACGATATTGTCATCAACTAGATTCGATGAAGTGGACACAGCCACTTTGTCCCAGTGGCTTTAGTTCGTTAGGACAGCTGGGCTGTGACGGTGGCACAGCTTCCTTGGAGGTGGGCAAAGGAGGGGGGATTAAGCACAGTACTGTGTGACTAGCAACCGTGTTTTAGAAACATGAAAGAGGAAAACAGATGACTGAGAAGATTTCCCCGTGAGTCACCAGCTGCCAAAGGCTGGGTAAAGCTTCTCACAAAGGGATTCAGACAAAAGCAGGGAATGGCAAGGACTGTTCCGGAGGCCTCGTGTTTATGACAGTGAACGGACGAGAGAGGTAAACGAGGCTTCCGCAGCAGCAGCGCGTGTGGCTCCACACAGCCACACGCTGTCTTCTCAGCACCCGGGGCATGCTAGATGCTCCGTTTGCTTTGTCTTGCTCTGCCTCGGCGCCCACAGGCGCGTGTGCTCTTCTTGTGGTTCGGTGTAGCATTCCCGTGGCTGTCTCCTGAGCTGGGCTTCCCTGGGAAGTTATTCTAATCAAGTCCCCATTCGCTTGCATACTACGAGGATCAGCGAGTGGGAGGCAGGGTTTTTACATGCCCACTGCCCACCCCAGCAAATTGCGTTGGCTTTCTTGCTAGCCTGTACATTTCTCCCCAGCATGGTGGAGAAAAGCTTACAGTTTTGTTTTCTCTGTGATGACAGCACTTTCCATACTGTAGGAAACCCATATGAAGTAAACACAAACAAACATGTGGAAATACACATGTTAAAACTTCATTTATTTTGACTCCCAGAGAAATATTCTAATGGTGTAATTTTTTTCTGCCTGAGCAAGAAATACAATGATAAATGAAATTAAAATATCTTTCAGTATAACATGAAAATGAAAGACCCCCAGAGGGAGGGAGACCCTCACTCAAGTCTCGGGATAAGCCGATGCCCCAATAACTCAAGAGAGACCGTTCTTGCTGCAAGAACAGGAGGTTTATTCGGGGAACCAGTACACTGGGGCCGAGCTCATGACCCTCGCAGGGGCAGAGGAGTTCGACCCCCAGTAGCTGCAGTGGGGGGGGAGTTAAAAGGGAAAAACCATAAAGAACGGGGAAATTAGGCAAATACCATAAAGGATGGGGAAGTTAGGTGATAGCTCATACCTTAGTGGGAAGGTTATAGGTTATCTGGAGCAAGCATTCTTGGGGGCATTGTACAGCTAAACACTGAGCAAGGCACCTGATGCATCAGGAATGTCGTGAGCTAGTTCCTGGATCAGGGAGTGTTATCTTTTAAGTTTATCTTGAGGTCACTGGTTTCTTAGGAGAGGGCAGAAGAACAAGTTACTCTGTGCCGGGCTAGTTGCTAGGGGTCTAAAAATGTTGAGTTAGGATCTCTCAAAAGAAAGTTAGGAAAACTGTACAATGAATAACCCCCACAGAATTCTAAAAAAAAAAAACCCTTTAATACATTTAAACACACTGTGCTTACAAAGTTCACACTCCTACCCCATCACAGTGTAGTGTGTGGGCCACATGGTATCGTTCAAGGTACCATCGGTACCCAGTCAATGGTGTTTCATCAACTTGCTAAAAAGAAGTGGAAGTCCTGTTAACATAGGACAGTAAGTGGCTTAGCCCTGGCATCTCAATAGAAGCTCCCACTGAGCAACCCTACGGTCTCCAGAAACTGCAGAGGTGTGATTCTGCTCTGCTGTTTCCACAGCCTAAGTAAAAATTTAAACACAACCATTCCCAGGGCATCCCCCTTTCTCGGTGTTCCTTGAGAAAGTTACCAAGCAGATATTTAGAGAAGCTTTCTTGTATAGGAGATACGGAAACGATAACGTATCAAAGTATCAATAGCTCTGTGGCTAGTAGTCATGTAACCATCAGTTGCTATAGATTCATATTTCAATTCTATTGGGTTTATACCTGTATTCTGCTTGTCTAGACTTTTTTTCTTGTACTGGGAATTAAACTCTAGGCCTTGTATATGGTCAGCTAATGCTATACCATGAAGCCACTGTCTTGACTTCTTGCTTAGATCATCTTTGGCCAGTAGAGTTACAATGTAAGGCCTACTAGCTACATTAGGAAATAAAAACAAAAAGAAAAAAATTAGTTGAAAGCCACTTAATATATTGTTTTCTTTAATTAGGACATCCAGAATACTATTGTATAACAGACAATCCATATAAAAATCGTTGAAATGTTCTACATCTATTTATCTTGTGCAGTCTTTGAATTCTAGTGCATGTTGACACAGCACACCCAACTAGGACTGGCCACATTTCAAATGCTTGTTTTAATGCTGCTTCATTGTACAGAATAGATTTAGATGGAGATTTACTCTGAATAAACTGGCTATTGACAATGTCGATATTTTAGATGACATTTTGATTGGCTGTGCTGGACAAGTCTATGTGTGTGATTTTTATGTGCAGTGTTTGTGTCACTTTTAAAGCCTATATTTATGGTATAACACGAGAAGGAAGAATGAGCAAGAAGAGCAGTTTGGCAGCACGGTAATGTTTGTTTCTCTTAAGTGTTCCCTGCTGACCATTCTATCTCTTTTAATTATAACAGGAATCTGCCCCGTTAGCATGCAAAGTTATGCTGGGAAAACTTCTGCCTCATTTACTCTGGCTGATTCTCATCTACTTCTGGGTCAGTGGTTCATTGGCTGGAGGTCACTAGCACTGCTGCCCAGACCATGATTTCATTTATTATAATGACGGAATGTTGGCCTTTGAAGGCAACACAACTGGTTGACACAGTCTATAAAATTTTAATGATAATGTTTAGATATCAAATGCAGCCATCAAGACAGAAACTGCCAGTTTTGAGCGCTATCTATCTGTCTGTCTGTCTGTCTGTCTGTCTGTCTGTCTGACTCTCTCTGTGTATGTGTGTATATGCATCCTATATTGTTGGTTTGAAACACTGCATAACATTATCAAAATATGATATTCAAGAATCATATAGTATCAATCATTCCTAGATATAGTGATCTGTTCTTTGCCAACACAGTTCAATGAGCTGGTAAAACATATGGAGTTGGGTTTTTTTGATATGTAAAAAATAGAATTTAATCAGTCATGTATCTCAGCTCCCAACTTCAGTCATGCTTTGAGAAGCATTTAAATTTGGTCACTGAGACTGAAATTTATAAAAGCTTCGACAAAGCTGGTGTACTTCATATTTTAGAAAAGCAGAGGTCCTGTACCAACTGAGGTATTCGGCCCAGAATACAGGGTGGGTGCTTAAATTCCTTCTGTGAACAAGAGGTGACTTCCTGAACACATTGTGGTATAGAATAGTTGAGACTTGGGGGTCATTGTGACCATGAACGAGAGTTGGCACTCTGTCTCTTCCAAGTGAGGCCCATCTTGTCTTCAGCGGACCCGTCCCATCCAGGCTCCCTACCCTCTCCAATGATTTTCCTGAAAGAGCTGAAGGCTTTAATGCCCTGCTAATGAAACATTTCCCGTTCCCTCCCTTCCTCGGCACATGGCTTGTGTGGGTGCCGGCAAGAGGAGATGGGTCTGTGCGAGAAGCCTGTGTGGCTTGTCTAAGTCCTCCTGCTGGGAGGAAGGAACCATTTACCCGCAACGCACAGGCCTCCTGTCCTTTAGTCTGGAGACACTTTTACCTAGACTCATTCACCCGTGAAATCGTCGGGCAAATAGA